GTATTTATTGAAACTCTAGTATTTGCATAACATGCTGCCAGACACTGAGGGATTTGCTGAAGAAATATTAAAGACATCCTCCCTTCCTTTGAGGAGCTTAGAGCTTACTCGGGGAGGAATGACATAGACATATGAAACAGTTAAGTTGTAATTCAAGGCAGCATATGATTAAATACTGAAACATGTGGTTCCAACAAGAAATGCTATAGGAGTTCAGAAAAGGGAGTGATAACTCTGGCACTACTGTTTTCTGCCTACAAATTGGCAAATCGTAGCACTATTTGTATGAAATATTTTACACTTGTTTTTTTGGCAGCCTTAGGCCTTGACTCCCAGGCAGCATTAAGAGCCTACAAAAAATATTTGTGCTCCAATCCCTGTAGAACTGGCTTTTTTCTTTTCTTCTCATCGGCAGGGGAAGGGCCTTATACAAACCAGAGAAGCCGTGAGAGGCAGGTAGTTTTCCAGAGTCATAATCTCTTTCAATTACAGAATTAGAAACCAGCCTTGTCAGTCTCTCTTTTTCAATCCAGTGGTACATGCCCCTCCATGGCCAGCTCCCCCTGACACTGAGAGGTGGCTTAATGGGAACTTACTGTCCATGACAGACGAGCTAGCCATCAAAGGTCAGATAAATTTATGGCTTTGGAGAAGTGCTGATGAAAATCCCCCTGGTCATGATGTTGGAGAGGAACCGACACAGATGGAGGTGAGTTCCAGCACAGATGTGCCCAGTGTAAGCAGGGTTCCCCAAAATGTCATGATCTGATGACATGCTGAGAATATTGTGCTTGCGGATGATGTTTAATGAAACTCGCTGGCTTCCTGTACTATTTTTGTCATATTCAAATTAGCACAGAGCTCAAAGACGAAGCTGTGGAGCCTAAATTCTTAAGAATTCTAAAAAAGAGAGAGAAAAGAGGAGGAAGACGAAAGAAACAGGTGGGAAAGGTCAACCCATGTCACATACGCTACTGGGCCCACACCTCATTCCACGCCGACCCTCTCAGGGACTCCCCGCAGCCACATGCTTGCTTTTCAATCTCATGATTCATGAATTTTCAGTTTCTTTTAAACTCAGCATCACTGGTTCTCTCCCGCCTCTTCATTTGAACCAGAGGCCCCGAGGAGGGAGAGAGAGATAGCAGATGCTTTGTTCTCTCCCTGACATTATTCAATGAGATGTCTGTGGAGTCCGATACCATTTGAAAATAACGTGGCACTTGGTGTTCCTTCTTCTTGTCGCATGGGCAGCCCTCTGGGGAGGCAAGAGTTCCCGAGTTATCATGACCTGGAGTGACTGAGACATCAAGCAAACCAAGTGACCTCAGCACTCAGCTTCTGACCGTGTTTATCAAAGGCGTTGACCCTGAACACAGCTTCATTTATTTGGGGCATCCTCTGAGATGGCTGACTTGGGAAAGTGTCTCCCCCATATCTCTTGATATAATTCGGTGTATCTGTATAAATAAATATTATGTAGTGTATAGTTATGGAGTGTCCTATCAAATTCTTGGGAGGACTCTGCCCTTGACATATTTTTATTTAATTATCATGCTGCAAAGCGCAAGATAGTAGCTTTTTTTTTCAACTACAAAAAAAATTTACACAATAGGTTAGTGTTATGGGACTGAATTACAAACCTAAAATGTATACAATATATAAACTCTTTCTTGGCTATTCTTTGCTAGGTTTTTCAAGAGGGGAGCTTTTTAATTTTGGAATCCATGAGAGGCTGTGCTTTTGATGTATTGGAGATGGTTTCTTAAGAGATGGCTCTGGAGTCTGAGTTCAACATGTTGTTTGCATTTGTTCTCCGTTCTGAGACATGATGGAAGAAATGCTCTCCTGTTTTCCTATTGCTTTTCACGGTTTTAGCATCTCGTTCCTATTCGTGCTCAAGATCAATAATCCACTATACAAAGCCTGGTATTCTGTACTGACGCCCTTGTGAGAAAGGTTTAACTAATGCGCGTGAGGGTTGCTGTTTTGTTTCCCCCCCCTTTTTTAAATTTCTTTATTGTTGAAAGTATTACGGATATCCCCTTTTTTCTATTGATCCCCTCCCCCCGGAGGCCTTCACCACACTATTGTCTCTGTCCATGGGTTATGCATATATGCATATAAGTTCTTTGATTAATCTCTCCCCACCCACAACCCCATCCCCACCTTCCCTCTGAGATTCATCAGTCTGTTCCATGCTTCTGTGTCTCTGGATCTATTTTGTTACTCAGTCTGTTTTGTTTATTAGATTCTACATTTGAGTGAGATCATGTAAAACTGAATCAGGAAGAATCAGAAAACCTGAATAGGCTAATAACAACTGGTGAAATTGAAGCAGTAATTAAAAAACTCCCAGCACACAAAAGCCCTAGTCCAGAGAGTTTCACAGGGGAGCTTTCTAATTCTTTAAATTGTAGAGTTAGATACTTTACAAAATTTTTTTTTTGCATTTTGAGGTAGGCCTATAGATCTATGAACTTCCCTCTTAGGACTGCTTTTGCTGTGTCCCATAGATTTGGGGTTGTTGAGTGTTCATTTTCATTTGTTTCCAGGAAGTTTTTTATTTCTTTCTTGATCTTATTGGTAACCCATTCATTGTTTAATAACATGCTATTTAGTCTCCATGTGTTTGCATGTTTTTGAGTGTTTTTACTGTAGTTGATTTCTAATTTCATGCCAGTGTGATCTGAGATGCTTGATATGATTTCAATCTTGAACTTGTAGAGACTGGTTTTGTGTCCTAACATGTGGTCTTTCTTTGAGCATGACCCATGTGCCCTTGAGAGGAATGTATATTCTGTAGCTTTGGAATGAAATGTTCTGTAAATATCAATTAAATCCACCTGATCTAGTGTGCCATTTAGAGTCACTGTTTCTGTGTTGTCTTTTTGTCTGGAAGATCTGTCCAGTGAAGTCAGTGGGGTGTTCAAGTCCACGACTGTGACTGTGTTGCTGTTGATGTCTCCTTAAAGTCCTAGAGGTTATTATTGATAGGTCCTTATTTATTGTCATTTGAATTCTTTATGTCTTTGTTTCTTTCTCAGTTTCTTGTTATTATAGCAGTTCCCTTAACATTTCTTGCAATGCTTCTATTTCTACTTCTAATTACAGCAGTCCCTTTAACATTTCCTACAATGCTAGTTTGGTGGTGATAAACTCTTTCAGCCTTTTTTTGTTTGAGAAGCTCTTTATTTCACCATGTATTTTGACTGATAGCCTTGCTGAACAGAGTAGTCTTAGATTCAGATTCTTGTTTTGCGTTACCTTGAATACTTCATGCTATTCCCTTCTGGCCTGTAGAGTTTCTGACGAGAAGTCAGTTCGTCAGAGCCTTATGGGAGCTCCTTTGTAGGTAACAGATGGCTTTTCTCTTGCTGCCTTTAATATTCTCTCTTTGTCTTGAAATTTTGGCATTTTAATTATGATGTGTCTGGGCATGGGTCTCTTTGGATTCCTGAATGTGTGTGACTTTTTCCTTGCCCAGGTTAGGGAAGTTATCTGCCATTATTTCTTCAAACAGATTCTCTGGCCTTTGCTTGCTTTTGACCTCTTCTGGCACTCCTATGATGTGAATATTGTTACATTCATGTTGTCCCGCAGCTCCCTTAGACTGTCCTCCTGTTTTTTAATTGTTTCTTCTTTTTGGATCTCTGACTGATTCTTTTTCTACCCTGTCTTCTAACTTACTGATCCAATCCTCAGCTTCCTCTAATCTGCTGTTTATTCCTTCCGATGTATTCTTTATTTGTGCTCTGTCATTCTTCATTTCTGACTCATCATTTTTCATAGTTTCCATATCCTTTTTATGCTGTTGAGCATCCTTACAATCAGTATTCTGAACTCGGTATGTGATAGATTGCTTATTTCCATTTCATTTAGCTCTTTTTCTGGAGACTTCTCTTGTTCTTTCATTTGGGTTTTTGTTTTTTTTTTTTTGTCTCCCCGTTTTGGCTACCTATTTGGGATTGTTTCTATGTATTAGGTAGGCCTGCTAGAACTCTCAGTCTTTTTGGAAGGTCTCTGGTGCAGGCCAATGTCATCCACTGTTTGTAACTGGCCTTGAGTACCCTGTTTGGAGCTATCAACAACCCACACATGTGTTGAGGCTCCCTCTGTTGGGGCTGGGTGCATTTGGACAGGACCAAGATGCACACCAAAGTCTGCTTTTCCAAGGTTGGGGTCCAGAAGCAGATCAGGCAAAGACTCAAAGCACCCTGAGGTCTGCCTCTGCCTGCAGGCTGATTAATCTGATTCTCTTAATGAGCCTTAGTCTGTAGAAAGTCCATGGGGTAGGGCAAAGGGATTTCTAGCAGGGTGGGGCAATTGCTTCCTCCTCACGCAAAAGCTGCTTGGAAGGTAAATGCCTATCTGTGAAAGATGTCCTCTGCAGTATGGAGGAATGACTAAGCACAGGAACCCAGAGAGGTGCCCTCTGAGCTCTCTCTCCAGAGCCCATAACCCTAGATTCTCCTCACATAGCTCCAGTCNACAGCTCTAGTCCACTCTGCCCTCCTTATGCTGGAGCCCAAGGTGAGTGGCTGCACAGGAAACTTTGTGCATTGGCCCTTTAAGAGGGTGCCTGCATTTCCAGCCATTTCTCCCTGGGAGACAGGGACCTGGCTGCTTTTCACAGCCAGATGTTTTGTGGGCATCCTTCTCAATTCTGGTGCTCTTGACTGGGAAACCCAGCTTGGGGTTTAGGCCCCAGAGTCCTCAGTGGGAACCCCCCACAGCTGAGATATTTCTCTGGACCTTCAGCTACTGCCTGTGGGAGCCCAGCCAGCCTGCTGGTGCTTCCGCACTTCCTACCAGTCTCTATGTGGTCTCCACTTTTTGTCCTTGGTTTGAGGGTTCTCTGCAGCTTGTCTTCAGTTGCAGTTTATTATTCAGGATGGTTTTTCTATATTTTAGTTGTAATTCCAGTTTGGTCCCAGAAGAGTTTCAGTGTAGCTTCCACTCAGTCTGCTGCCATCATTAATCTCCCTGTTTTTTAATAGGTGTACTTTTAAAGACGATTGTGGACGTTCAGAGAACTCAGAAAACTGGCTGGATATTTTGTCAGGAGCTAAAATGTGCCCTCAAATTCACATCTCTCAAAAAAGTAAAGATAAGGTAAGAGGAAAGATTTTAATTTTCCTTTATTGTATTGTCTTGTTTTGCATAATTGATACTAACTTCCTTCTCTGTGTAAAATATCTATTAGTGATCAAATACTCTTAGTTAGGGGAGTCATTTATTTAGTTAACTAATACGGAGTGCCTACCAGGAGCCATGCCCTCCCCGTGGTGCTAGGGACATAGCAGAGACCAAGACACATCACAGAGACCAAGACCCTGCCCATGTGCATTTAGTATCTTGTGGAGCTGCAGATGAACCTCAATAGTTGAATTTAAAGAAACGATAGACTTTTAATGTAGAGGAAAACATATTGATTTTAAAATTAGAGAAAAAAGAAATTCAGACTCATGGTCGATAAGATGCCTTAAATGTGGCTTAGTGTAGAATTTTGTTTTGTTTTATGGTTCCTTTTCTGTATGTGTTCAGGCTTCTCCTGACAGCTATTTTATGATCATGGCTTCAAGCTCTATTGGTAGAGTGGAGAGAAACCAGTGTGGGCAGTGAATACTGTGAGCAGAGTCCCTTAGAAAGAAAGCCAGCGGGCTCCTGCCAAGGCCGAACTGCCAATCAGCTCTGCCATTGGATGAGAAAAAGGGAGAAATGAGTATATTCAAGCATTTTCTGATCCACGTACCAACCATGTCCTGTGGGAAAAAGGAATTCCTGCCTCGCTATCTCAACAGCACTGTAAGGAGACATTGTCTCCCTAATTATGGCTCTTGTATTATGAATGATTGTACAGAACCCCCGTCAGCAGCCAGTTGACCTCACTCTGTTTTACTTGAATGTCACATTAACAAGGAAATGGGCCACTTTCTTTTTTCTCTTATACTTTGCCATTTCAAATAGCAAGAACCATATCACTTAAGATGATTTAACATTTAATAAAGGAGATCCAGAGCATTTTAATGAGTGATAAATAATAAAAGAATCAAGCTTTCAAGTCATAACTGATCAGAAGTCAAGGATTTAAAGTTATTTGGTTGTTGTCACTTTCTATTGTCTTCCGGTGGGGGAGGGGGTGAAAAAAGAACTTTCAAAGCCTTCATCCCAACAGGCCTGAGCCAAGAGTGAATAGATTCTGTAAAAAAGGTGCTTAAGCATGTAAGCATAGGTATGACTGAATTTTTCTTTCTCTTATGAGTCTGAAAAATTGTTAGTGCTGTTAGAGAATGGTAGAAAATACTGTGGTCCTTGAATCTACCCAGGACTCTGATAAGTGGTTAAGATTATGCAAGTTTTTTTATTTTATCATTTTGAAAACTTTAAGGTAATAATTTAGCTAAATACAGTGAGGGAAAGTAATTTTGTTCATTAAATAAAAAGTACTGCTTACACAATTTGCTTACCTGTCTTTGGGTTCACTCGTATAAATTAACTACCATTTTTATCTAGTCTGGAACACACAAAAATGTTTACCACCCAAACAACCACTAGTACTCTCCTCCCCACCCTGAGTCCCACTGTGGTTTACCCTGACCCCTCTAGCGTCTTCAGCCTTTACCTCAATCTCTCCAGCTAATCAGCACTTTCAAGATAAAGGAGATAATGATTTAGTAATTTGAGTAAAGCTAGCCTTTGAAACCACCTTTGGACTGATTATTTTCACAGTGTTGATAAGACATTTGACTCCATCTCTTGGTCACAATATTTCAACAACATTTCTGTCCTGTGGTCATTTATGAGTTAGCTGAAAGTCTCAGATCTTTGTTTATTTAAATAATACCCGATCCTGACCTACAGAGATAACAGTTTATGGTTTTCCCCAAATCTCCCTACTAGCTGCGTTCACAGAGTGTTTGGAACTGCCCATCGTATACCTCCTAACATCCTACTAACTTTCTGGGTATAGAAAACCCCCCATATAATGCAGAGACTTTGTTCCCAAGAAGCTTCATCTCTTTACACAAAACAGAAGATAGTATGTTCTCATCCTCATTAAGAAATTGGCATTAAAAATAAGTAATTAGAGCAATTCCAGTTGTCTTGGAGGGATTTTCATGAGGTTTTGTTGAATAAAAACAGCAAGATGCAGAAAAGTACGTATAGCATAATCTTGTATTGATCAAAACAGCCCCTATATAATGTCTCTTTATGGTTATTTGAGAAAAATGTGGAAGAATTCATTACTAGGTTATAAACATGGGCTTCCCTAATGGAATGATTGATGTGGTGGAGAGGGAAGGCATAGATAAGTGAAGAAAGAAGAAAAATCACAAACACAAAAAAGGATGGATGTCTGGCATATCCTGTTCTTGCATTATGTAAAATTATGTTTGTGTCTCCTGATAGGGAGATTTGAACATGCAGTAAAAATGGTTTATACCGATAAAAACAAAAAAAGACGTAGGAATGAAGTATTTCCCACAGACAGCATGGATCCTAAGGGAGAGTCGCTAGAAACATTTTTTTACAAATCAGAATGAAAACAAGGAATTTCACCACCACTGATACAGTTAACATCATTTTTCAGGTTCTTTCCAGTCCAGTAATACAAGAAACGAGTAATAGGAACAATTTTTGGAATGGAAAACATCATTATTTGCCACTCTTAAGTGGTTGTATGTCTGTAAAATCTAAACATATTAGCTTTAAAAACTACTTAAATTAATAAAAGTAAAATGAAGTGCTAAATTTTCAAGAAGCACTTAAATGTCAATAGCCTTACTTACATGTGAGGTAAAACAAACTGGTAATATTAATAAAAGATCCCATTTATTAAAACAACAGAAATACTCAGGTATAATCTTAAAGAGCAAGGCATATGCCCTATTTTTAAAATTATTTTTACTAGGAGATACATGTTGAAGACAACTACCAAAATAGTAATTTTGGCTTTATAACAGCTTGCCTTAAGTGATTTTTTTTTTTCTTATAGTAATTAGAATGTGGGGCAGTGATCTACTGAGGCAACTTATAATTCATAATAGGGAAACCTTATCAATTAAAAAGCATAAGCATAAATAAAAATAAAAGCAAAACCATACAAGGTATTTTCTTGGAAGATATGAAAAACATCTTGAATATATCCAGACACATACTATGTTTCTTGGCGGGAAGATATCATAAAAATGTCATGTCTTCCTCAATCTATTTTCTAGATTTTATATAACCCCAGTGAAAATTTGAATAGACTCTGTCTCAAAGTTAATATAAAATTCATCTGGAATAATATGAACTGGTCAAGAATATCCTAAATATATTTGGAAAAAAGAAAGTTATTTAAGCAAGACCATTTCCATACGATTGTAAACATATGTATAGCAATAATAATTCAGCCCATGATTCTGGTTTAAAAATAGAAATGTACTTTTTACTCTATTCCATGAAATAGAGTAAAAAGCTGAGAAGTAGATGTAAAGATTTTAAAGATTAAATGCCATAAAATAAGAGGAAACGAATTATTTCATAAAAGGTACTGAGATAACTGGCTTATAATATGGAACTGTAATTTAATTCACATTTTACATTAAATATAAAAATAAAATTAGGCTAATTAAGAAATTCATTTAAACAGTTTACACAGAAAAACTAACAGAAAATAGAATTGAGCATCAGATAATTCAGAAGTATAATTTTCTTAGCTTTGAAGCAGTATAGTATGAAATAAAAGAAAAATTTTAATTTACTTGACTTTAAAAAATCTATACAACAAAAAATAAATAACTAAAGCACATACATTAGGGAAACATTTTTGGTAGGCAAAATGTTAATTGCAAGTTATTATGGCTGGAGAACTTAAAAAGGAAAACATTGAGACACCAAAAAGTAAGTGGGCAAAGCATATATTCTCACAAGAAGAGGTTTAGAGAGTTAGACATAGATATGGCAATATGTTAAACTTCACCAGTTATCAAATAAATACAAATTAAAGTGATAATAAGATATGCTAACACCTAGTGTTGGCAATGCCAATTAGCACAATATTTTTGGAAGGCAATTTGGCAGTATGTTTTGAAAGTCATAAATATATTCATTCTCTTGGAAGCAGCAATTCCAGGCTTAGAATTCTGAAGAAGTAACTTGAAAGAAGAAAACCCAGAAGCATACAGATGCTATTGCAGTAGCCTTTATAGAGTTAGAAACCTGGAAATAACGGAACTGTCTGGCAATAAGGGGAATGGTTAGTAAAATAAGGAATGTTGGTTGACGTGGTAGAATGTTCATTGGCCTCCATGGACATTATCAGCACTCAGACTTTCTGTCTTTATCTGATCCTTTGTGTCTTCATTTTTCTTTATCCAGCGTGGTTCAAGAAAGAACTATCAACCTGCTAAAGATCCCCATCCATGTGGGATTAAGCCAAGTCTCCAGCTTTTTAACCATACTCACCAGGAACCCAAAGTCATGCAAAAATACCTTCAACTTCCTGGCTAACCTCTCCTTCCACTGCACTTGGGAAAAAACTTGCTGTCTCCCAATTTCAGATCACCCCAAACTGGCTTTTGCCTACCCTTCCCCAGAAACTTCTCGCTGAGGTCAGCGGGATGCTCCATGTAGCCAGTCCAGCAGATGCTAGAAGGCCTCATCTTACCTGGCCCACTGGCCGGATTCTTGAAACTCTTCCATTACACGGCCTCTCCACGCTCTCTTTCTTCTCTTTGGCCATACCTCAGCCTCCCTTGCTGGCTCCATCTCTCCCTGACTTTAAGTATTAGAGTTGTTTCGGGCCCAGTTTTGGCTTTTTCTCTCTTCTGACTCTCTACTTTATCCACAGACAATCTTACCCACTCCCATAGCTTTATATATCCCCTGTATGTTCATGTCTCCTTTATTTCCACCCCAGAATGTGCCTCCAAGCTCCAGGCCCATAGCCTCTTGATGATCACATGAGCATCTTGAACTCAACACATCCAAAGTTGAAATCTTGAATTTTCTACCCAAAATTGGCCTCTCCCTCACTGTGTCTCATCTCAGTACATGGTACCTCTATCCATCCATTTGCTCACCCAAGTCCTTCATATCCACATACCCCATTTCCAATCCTGCCCTCTACTACCTCTAATGGGCATCTTGAATCTGTCCATTTTTTTCCATTTCCACTGTACCATCATAGCCCAGGCTTCTGTCATTTCTTAATGATCTCTTAATACTGTGTGGCCCTAAAACTAGACTAGATTTAGTCTAGTGGACTTTTCCATGCTTCTACTAGACTATACGCTCTTTGAGGGTAAGGACTGTAGCTCTTTGGTTCACTAGAGTATTCAGGACTTTGTGTAGCTCTTGGCACATGTTATGAGCTTGATAAATGTATATGGAATAAATAAATGCAATGGTTACAGTTATGTTAAAACTGTGTGTGAGAACTAGAAGGAAGTGTGAAAAATTTAAACAGCTGGTAAAAATAGGATTTAAAAAAACTTTCTGATACTTTTGTTATAATTTTTGAACAGTGAAATACATTTAAGATATATATGTATGTATACAGGTTAATATGTGATGTGACCATGTGCTGAGATGCGTGGTGCAGATATAAATGCTGGGTTGAAGAAGGCAGATGGATGAGACTTCAGCCATTTGTTGAAGATGAGCTAGTAGAAATGGTTTGGGATGTGTTACTAGCCTCAGGTCCCTAGATATGGTAGGACTTTTGTTCTGCCAGGTTGGATGGTAAGAACTTGCCTTCTTCCAGCATGATTCCTTGGCCCAGAACAGAATTCTTTGAAAATGGAAAGATGGGGTTAACTCCCAGGCTAGAATAGACTTAGCAAGCTTACTAGAGGCCAAAAAACAGCAGACTTAGGTGGCCATGCAGAAAGTCTGGGCAGAGGCCAGAAATATAACAGAAAATGGACCCCCCTCCCCCAGGTTGTCTGGGACTGTCACTCTTCACCCTAGTGAGAGGGTTACTTTTTCCACTCCCAGCTTCCTAATACTTGGCCCATCCATTAGATCTAGCAGATCCATTTAATGCATATTAATTCCTTTAATTTTCCTTTTTAACAGGAGAACTGGCTGCCTTGTTCCTTTAGTAAATTTGTTGGGGGAACGTTGCTTTAGAGGAACTTCCAAGATTTTATTTTTGTGACCCCTTGTGTACACACACACACAAAACAGCCACCACCCCTAAATTTGATCATATGTTTGACCACAGACAAAATCTTAATTTTTAAAAAAGATTTTTTTATTGATTCAAGAGGGAGAGGGAGAGAGAAACATCAGTGTGAGAGAGAAGCATTGATCAGCTGCCTCCGGTGCAACCCGGGCTGGGGATGGGGCACGTGCCTTACCAGGAATTGAACTGGCGACCCTTCAGTCCTTGGGACAGTGCTCAACTAACTGAGCCACACTGGCCTGGGCTTAAATAATTTTAAAAGTAGATTTCACAGGCCACTGTCTTGAACTATAAGCTGATATTAGCAACTAGCAATGAGAAATATAGAGCTGACACTGCAAAATCAAGGTACACCCTCTTAAATAAACCCTGGACCAGGGGGAAACAAATGAAAAAAAAACCCATGTGTTTGGATGGGAATACTTAATATCATAAATATATAAATTCTCCTAAAATTAATGTATATATTTAGTACAATTTCAGTTAGCCTCAGTCTCCTTACTCCCTTTGGACAAAATGATATTTAACTTTATATGGAAGAATAATCTCTAGGAAATGCTAAGAAAATAAAGAAAATAAGGATAGTAAATATAATTATCAGATAGTAAATATATTTATCACATAGCAGATATACAGGGTGTACCAAAAAAATGTATACACACTTGGAATGATTATAAAGTCAGTGTTTATTAAATAGTTTATTTTCAAAATTTGAAGTATACAGAAATGAATAGTTTTTTTGTCAATGCCTGTTTTCAAACTGATGTCAGTTCTGGTCCAGGCACTGCTGATAATGCAAAGCAATGGAATCACAAACATCAAGAATCATTTCTTTCAGTATTTGTTTGCCCTCCACTCGTCAACTTTTACTGGTTTGGTACCATAAACTTTATCTTTTATGTATCCCCATAAAAAAGTCTAATGGCACTTTAGGATAAATTTTCTTTGTTCAAAGCTTAGTCTGGCTTCACCCATTATTTCAAATCAGTTAAACCAAAAAAGGAGTGAAAATTAACTGAGTTATCTGCTGTTAAGTGTGTATACATTTTTGGGGACACCCTATATTTAACGTCACAGTGGTATAAACTTGATGACATTGGAATAGAAGTAAATCGGTAGATAACTGGAATAGAACAGAGTTCAGAAATAGATTCTAGATATATGGTAACCTAATCTATGACTAAAATGGTATTTTGCTTCACTGGACGACATTTTTGTTTTGTAAGTGGCTGTGACGTAGCTGATTAACCACCTGGATAAGAATAAAGTTGGACCTTTCCTCATACTATGTATAAAAATAAATTCCAGATGGAGCAAAGTTATAAGCTCAAAAAAATAAAATAATAAAGGTGGCGAGACAGTTTTAGATTTGTCTATAAGCAAGGGTTTGGGAAGTAAAACAGTCCAAGAACTGAATATGTGACTCACAAAAGAGCAAACCTAATGGCCAACAAAACATCATCCTTCATGTGGGCAATCTGGAAAATTCTTCTGTGACAGGTCAAAGGGTACGTTCACTTAAGGCTCTAGAATGGAGGCCAGAGAGGCAGAGTGATGACTTGGTCCCCGGGTCACCTTCTTCTCCACACAGACTGCGGTGACGCTGGCGGGAAGCATGTCCCCGAGGCGTTCGGGCTGCGTGGTGAGGGACGTGCCGTCCGGCCGGGAGCTCTGCAAGGGCGAAAGCCCGCCCAACAGGACCTGCACCTGCAGCATCCTCACCGCAGCGTCCCTCAAAGGTAAGTGGACACTCCGCTGCTTTTCGTTAGCAAGTGAAGAAGGCGGGAGGGCATCCTGAGTGCCCAGGAAGCAAGTTAAACGACAGAAAATCTGAAGAGTCCCGCGCTGTAGACCTCTGCTCTACCTCTTCCATGACAGCAGGACTATCACATGTGACTAAGAATGACAGGACAGTGAGTTAGGTGAGTGGAGTAAAGCCAGGGACCATTGGGTGACCCTACCTACCCAAAAGGTTTGGAGAATGCAGACATCTGAAGAGGTGGAATGTCCTTGGTGAGAAGAGAAAATAGAGCGGCCAGTGTTCTATCATCTTAAGTTCCTTGCATTCATTCATTCATTCATTCATTCATCCAAGAAGTACTTATTGAACATCTACTGCATGCTAGGTACTGTGCTAGGTGCTAGGGATACAGTAACCAAAAAAGAGACTGACCTGGCCACTGGTCCTGGTGTTTACAGCCTATTGGGGTAGAAATAAGTAAAAGGCTTGTTACAAAGTAGTGTGTAAATACAGGGAATCGAGAGAGTACCATGGGAAACATATGAAAAGGATGCCTAACTGGACTTGGTGGTGGGCGGCACAAGGAAGGCTCCCTGGAGGATGAGTCGAGTTGAGCCAGACAAAGAAGTGGGGGAAGAGTATTCTCAGCAGAGACCCACGAGTATGGAGAGAAAAAGCTTTGTTTGAGGAGACAAAAGGGGTTCTATGTAGCTAACACAAATGGGGCAGGGACAGGTGGAAAGCAAAGTGATAAAAAATGGATACAAAAGAAGGCACAAAATGGCACAGAATAGCCATTTTCAACCAACAGATTTTTGTTGCATGAATGAATGAATGGCCACAGGTGGAGAATGGGCTAGAGAGGGGAGAGACTGAGTTCCGAAGGATCAGATAGAAGGAAGGAACGCTGCTGCGGTGTCCAGGTGAGGCGGACGAGGTAGAGGCTGATGGGGCTGGAGAGAAGTGGGTGGATTCCTGAGCTGGGTAGGAGTTTCGATAGACAGAGAATTCATGAGCCCCTTTGGGTGAGAGACTGGAAGTAGAGTCAAGTTCACTGTGCAGTCTTCCTAGAATGGTTGAAGATCAAAATGGAGCCACGTTTTGTGGTGAGAGCTGGTGTTACCTAATTAATCCTAAATCCCTCAAAAGGGAATTGAATGCACCAGGCCAGAGAGCCAAGCTTGAAAAATGCCTCTCAGCTACTGGGCTCATGGTGACTATTTGCATCTGAATTGCTTGAAAAATTATTTCAGTTTTCCACATTTGTTTGTCCATACTATACAGCCTTTGTGATGTGCTTCTAGTTAATTTTGGTTATTAAAATGCAGATCTTGCTAACCTGTAAAATATGCTTCTGAAGTTTTTGAGACTACCTAGTAAGGCTAGCTGGTGTTTTTAGAGCCTCCATCAATTGCACCCAACCCTTTGCCTGCCCCTTTTTTGAATGTCTTGCATATTCTGAGCAGGCAAACTCACCTCCCACCTCTTGCACTCAGCCAGCCAATGACCATTCAAACCCTTGTCCATGGCCTAGAGTAACCTCACCCCTTTCACCAAATCCTGTTGCCCTTCTGCTTTGAAACATTGGGGGGAAAGTCACCTCTTCCTTACAGCTTTGCTACATTCTGCTCTAACTGTCCTGGTCATTCTAGCCCTCCCCTTGGTCTCCCGCAGGCACCCCAGGTGCTACATGGACCTCAGACCACTCATAGGGTGTTTCCTTGACTGCTCTCATTGTGCTTTTTTCACCTAAGTTATTTTATCTCTTCCAGAATAACTGTAAGTGCTTTGAAAGCAGAGATCATATCTATTTCTTTTCCTGTGACATTTCCCAATAGTGTTTTGTGCACAGTTGATGCTTGGAAAAGTACGACTTTTGCTGGTCTTCAGCACTGGACACTTGTGGATTCCATGGACGTGATTTTCACGGGTGCCTCAGTGCTAAATGTCCGTGTTTGTTCTGCTGACACTCGGCAAGTGTCTCTTCAAATGCTGTCGCTGAGAGGTCAAGCCAGCCCTGCAAATACCCTGTCTCAGAACAGAGGATTATCATTTTACACAGGCCGACTTGATGTGCACAGAATTTTATGGGGCATCCTGGCTTTCACAATGAATTTTGTTGCCCTAGAGAAGCAAATTAAAGTCAGAATTCTCAGCCTTTTGAAACCATACACTACTAAAATTTCAGTAAGAAAATTAGAGGTGCCAACAAAATTAGGCTGCTTCTTACTCTGTCAAGTAAAGACTTCCCTTTCAAAAATATCATCTACTATCCCCATTCATTTATAAAAGAAAGAAGATGGGTGACAGTGAAAACATCACAGGGTGTCACTAGTCCCTGGTCACAAGATGTGAAAGGCGCCCACGCCTGGCTCTAGACAATTAGTTACATGGGGACCATTTCTAACCACTGATTCCTGGCCTTATCCCAGGCCTGCTAAGTCAGAATGTCTAGGGACCTGGCTCTGGAATCTGCATTTTCATCAATTTCTCAAGTGATTCTGACGGCCAGCTGGGTTGGAGAGCATCTTGGATAGGGTACCCTGTTCATTAAAGAGGCACAGGAAATACGATGTTTTTCTAACGCCGCTTGAGCATAGCGTTTACCTTTCTGACTTTATTCTTTTGAAGTTTCCTAACCAATGGGTAGGTTTTCAAACGTTTGGTAAGAAGCCTGCATCACAGATTTGGAGACAGTTGCCTCCAAGAAGATCATGGATCCCAGCCCATGGGAGCCACACTTTAGAGTTTGTTAGGGAAATATTTGTAGTGTGATTTTTCTGGAGGTGCAGGGTTTCCTCTCTCACATTCTGATTCTCCTGTTCTAGGCACTTCTTGCTCAGTGACTTGTTTTATTTTTATGCCGTGGCCAATTACAAGTTGAGATAGTGATCCCGGGGAGAGTATGAGATGTAAATGGGCTGGAAAATGGCTTTTTCCTAGTGATTATCCACGGGAGGCCCTCAATGTGAGGTGGGCCGGGTGTGTGGGAGCCTGTGCTGTGCGCTCCGGCTGCCTGGCGTGAATGGCCTACAGGAAGGACCCCATACTGACTGCAATGTGAGCGAACAGCTGGCACACCCCACCCTCATTTGCAGAGGAGGCAAAAATATTTATTTTTGTGCATTTACAGCTTTGCTTGATGATAGCAGGACTCCACCGTAAATGATGCTTTTTTTCCCCCCCTTTGCTCCAGATGTTTTAGTTGTCAACGTGACGTTCTCCTTCGGTTCTTGGCATTTATCAAAAAGATTCGACTTTACCAACTGCTCGTCATTAAGAGAGTAAGATTTTATTTGCCATCTAAATATTCTCTCATTGGTTTTAATTTATTGATTCGCTTTACTCCTCGACTTCCTAAAGAACTCTTTTGTGGAGTCGAACTTTCCAAAGTGCCTTTTGGAGCGTGGCCTAACGGGAGCTGGGAGGGCCCCCGAGCTCATAAGCGCGCTCGTTCAAGCCCTAATAAGTAAGGTGGAGCAGCTGAGGCACACACAGCTGTGCTGCAGCGTCTCTACCAAGAGGGAAATCCGTTTGCCCAGGACCGAGAGGGGGCCTTGAAGCAAGCACAGCTGAAGGGGTGCTGCTAGCTTCTCCCCTGATCAGAATGGCGTTGGGAACGGGGTCCAGAGAGAGGGTGTGAGCATGAGATAAGGGGAAGCCGTACTCAAGAGAAGGGAAGAAGAAGTCTGTTTCATCAGAGAGCATATGAAACCCATAAACACACAGCAGTATGGTGGTTACCAGAGGGGAAGGGGGTGGGAAAGGATGACAGGAGTAAAGGGGGTCACATGGATGGTGACGGAGGGAGACTAGACTTTGGGTGGTGAGCACACAGTGCAGTGTACAGATGATTATCATAGAATTGTACACTTGAAACTTATGTAATGTTATTAACCAATGTCACCCCAATACATTTAATTTTTAAAAGAACATGTTAATTCTGCCCCCACCATTTTTTTTTTTTTTAACCACGCTGGGCCCTGTTGAGCTACAGGATCCCCTGAGTGAGGGCCACACCTCACTCCTTCTAAAGCAGAGAGAAGACAGAGGAAATAGGTTTCTCAGAATCCTGATTTTCCAGTTGGAAGATGGGGTGGAGGTTCCCATGGAAACAATGGGAAGCTCTATTATTAGTGATTCTATAGTTCATTCAGTGGCTTGATTGACCAGCTACGTGAGTACCAAATGTGAGCTTCTTTGGCTTGGCCTGGGAACCGTTGTTTCTTTGGGGAAAATGAGGCCGCCTTACAGCTGTTAGGACAGGGGCACCGGTACTTATCTTTACCCTTGCAGGATTGAGTTCAGTTATCTCTAATAAACACAATGAATTTAGGGAGAGAGAAAAAACAAACTTGATACAGAAAGCCTCAGAAGTCCATGAACATAGGAAAAAAGGGAGAGAGTTAAATAGAATTTTTTGGCTCAAAGAGAGTTGAAACATAATGCAGCTCTCCATCCCCCGCTGGCGAGGCCAGACAAAGGAAGAGACTTGCTGCAGGTCCCACAACCAGGTGATTAACATCCAGACCTCAGACCCACAGCTCCTGGAGGGAGAGTGCTCTTTTCTTGGGCACCTGCCTCCCTCAGGAAAGCGCAGAGTGCAGCCTCACTCCTGGGAGGCAGGACAGGGAGGCAAATCACAAACCTGCTCCCAGCGCACTTAGGTAGCCAGATAAACACTGAGTAATTGAATGGTGTCCCTTTTCCCTGCACTGGTTCCCTCACTATCCCCAGGCTGGGCCTTCCTTTGGCTCCCAAGACTGTTTCCAGACTAACCTCTATTTTTATATTTGTCATTCTTTAAGCCTGATTATCCTCTAAGTGGGGGGTGGGGAACGTCCAGCCCTCCGGCCATGTAGGGCCCAGTGAAATCATTTGATCTTGCCCTGCCAAGGCAACTGCAGGCAGGACTCGAAATTCAGTAAATCTAGGAGCTTTTTTCATAGCTAATTTTAAAGTTTATAATTTTGTATGGCCCTTGAATAATGTTATAAATATCCAAATCGTCCTTGGCAGAAAAAAGGTTCCCCACCCCTGCTATAAGTACTTTTCAAGCCCTCTAATGTCCATGCACGATAGGTTATTTGACTAGCAGACACAATTCTTCCTGAATTTGATTAAAAAGTAAACACTGGCATCCCATTCCTTCTGCTTGTCAGGTAACCCTTCGGGCAGTTGGTGGTGTTACTGCTGATTGGGGGGAGGCGAGGGTCAAGGATGGAAGCAGGGGAGACCATTCTCCAGAAGGGAACTTACCTGAGGGTAGACGGACAGTAGAAGTAGATTCAGAAACAGATTTAGTGGATACCTGTTATCTACCTGCACAGCAGGTGACCCAGCTTCAGGTTTCCATGGCAACACCCGGCAGGTGTGATGACAGGCAATCAGCCTGAAGACTGCCCAGAGCAGGGCACCAAGTCATTGTCCTATCCCCAGCCTCAGAGGACTGTGCTCTCTCCCCTGGGTTTATCACAGTCTGTGTAGGGATTTTTTTTTTCTTTTAAATGCTCACATGCCACATCACGGAGGGAAATTCTAGGATATGAAGATTTTCCTAAAAATGTAGGAATTAAGTTGGTTTTCTACGTTGCCAGATGCCCAGTGTGCACTGGAACTGGCTGTGCTTGGTGTGAGAGCGAGGGGAAGTGTATCCACCCCTTCACGGCTTGCAGCCCCTCCAACTACTACAGAAACCAGGTAAAGTGACAATTTCGGCATTTCAAGGTTTGACCAAAAATAAATGTTGGTAACCACCCAGCCTGTCCTTTGTGTTTATTTTGAACTCTGAACTTCGCACCTATTTGGATGTTGAGGGGATATTCTTCATTTCAGGAACCTTGTCAAGTTGCCGCTGAGAAGCAGGCCCCGTCCCGGACGGCAGGAGGCGAGTTCGAGAAGCGCAACAGAACCAGCCGGGGCGGGCAGGTCAGACCCTGTTTTGTGTTGAGAGTGGGAAAATCCCCCTTCGCCTGACAATAACAACTGCCCCTTTGGGTTCCTTTTTAAAACTCCCTGTTTTACTTTCTACCAAAATTCCCTTTTTTACCTTTGATTTTAAACCAAGCTTCATTTAATTGGCTCAGTACATCAAAGACTGCACACTCACATAAAAGAAATTAAAATTCTGTAACTGAAAAATGTTGTTCCGGGAGGAGTAAAATTTTAAAGGTGATTTTGTGGCTCACTTGGGGAGAGTTAGAAGGAAGTGAAACACAGAGTACTGAGGGGATTTCAGTTCAGAAATTATCGTATTTCTGGGGATTATGGGCAAGGGCAAGTGTACAAAGTATACACACTAACCATGTTTGGATTGTTTTTCTTTACTTTGTAGAGACAATCTAACCAGTAGTTAATAACTCCAAAACAAAGAGTTGTTTCTGTATAATATATGTATCTTTCCCTTCACTTCTGAAAAGTGGTTATTTTCTGTGAAATTTCCTTGGAAATTCCTCGTATTTTCTTCACAGTAAATCACCAAGCTCGATTAACAGACATGTTTGAAAAGAGAGGAGGTGATGATGTAAATATTTTTAGGCAGACACTGGGGCTGTGGTTAGAATACAGAGAAGTGCTGACTTCATTCAGTGGACAGAAGTTAATTGAGCATTTACTATGTGGTGAAAAACAAAAAAAGGACAAGTTCTTGTTCTCATTAACCCTGGGGGTCTAGTAGGAGGAAACAGAACAACATGTGTGTGTTTTTGTTAATCCTCACTTGAGGATTTTTTCCCATTGATTTTTATAGAGAGTGGGAGGGAGGGAGGGAAGGGGAGAGAGAGACACACACACACACACACACACACTCTGACTGGTTGCCTCCCGCACATGCCCTGACTGGGGTGGGCGTAAAACCTGCAGCCCAGGTATGTACGCGCCCTTGACCAGGAATCAAACCCAAGACCGTTCGGTGTGCGGGCTGACGCTCTAACCACTGACCTGCACCAGCCTGGTGGCAGGGTTGGTGTTTTTAAAGGCTCAGTTTTCTATTCCATGACTACTCTGTGGCTTTGATTTGCCCATGTACTGCCATTTAAGGTCAAGTGCCAATATAAATAAGTAGCACATTTTTAATCACTGCCGAAAAGTTGATAGTAACTTTAGGTAAATTAAGTAACAGGCTAAAGGATGTGAATCAAAGTGGATTATGCAGTTAATTAAAGGCATTACTAAAGCTCGGTGTGCCAATATTTCAGACTTTAAGAGTCTTTGAGGTCTTACTAATTGATGAGCTTATTAAGTGATGGATCTTTCTCTTACCATTGATTTATAAAACTAAGACATAGTGACAGGAACTTGGATCAAGGAGGCAGTGACTTTTAAGAAAACATAAACTTATCTTTTGTTGTTTTAGTTTTTAAAATTTTGGTGGATTACGTGTAGCATAAAATATACTATTTTTACCATCTTTCATTAAGCGTACAGTTAGTAGTGTTAACTATTCTCACTGTTACGTGTCCATCGTCACCATCTATTGCCAGGACACATTTCATCTCGCAAAACTGAAACTCTGTACAGATTAAACAATAACTCCCCGTTTTGCCTTCCACCCTGGCAACCACCATCCTACTTTCTGTCTCTGAGTTGATTGCGCTAGGTACCTTATGTAAGTGGAATCATATTTGTCTTTTTGTGACTCGCTTATTTCACTTAATATCCTCAAGGTTCATGCATTTTTTAGCACGTTCAGAATTTCGTCCCTTTTTAAGACTGAGTAATATTGTATTCTATGGGTAGACCCCCATTTTGTTTCTCCATTCATCCGTCATGGGCATTTAGGTTGCTTCCACCTTTTGGCATGTTGTTTGTGTTTGTTGTTGCTGTAGGAGTTTGTTATATATCCTGGATATCAATGCCCTATCAGCTATATGATTTGCAAATAAATTCTCCTGTTTTGTAGGTTGTCTTTCATCCTTCTGACTGTACCTTTTGCACAGAAGTTTTTAATTTAATGAGGAAATCCAATTTACATATTTTTCTTTCGTTGCCTGTGCTTTGGATGTCATATGCAAGAAATCATTACCAAATCCAGTTTTATTAAGCTTTTCCTCCACATTTTCTTCTATGAGTTTTACAGTTTTAATTCTTAGATTTAGGGCTTTGATCTGTTTTGAGTTAATTTTCGTATATGGTGTAAGGAAAGGGTTGCGCTTCATTCTATTGCAGGTAGATACCCAGTTTCCCCAGCACCATTTGTTGGAGAGACTGTTCCTTTCCCGTTGAACGGTCTTGCCTCCTGTTGAAAATCATTTGACTACGTATGCGAGGATGTATTTCTGGATTGTTCCATTGGTCTGTGTGCCTGTCTTTATAACCGTAGTACGCTGTTTCGATTACCGTAACTTTGTAACACATTTTGAAACCAGAAAGTAGTAATCCTTCAACTTTGTCCGTTTTCAAGATTGTTTTGGAAAGAAGTTAAACTTCTTTGGAGACAACTGTAGATTCACACGTGGTTATAAGAAAATGATACAGAGAGAACTCATGCGTCTTTTACCCAGTTTCCTCCTATAGTAACTAACGTCTTGCAAAACTGTAGCACAACCTCACAGGTGGGATATTGACAGTGACAACGGTCAAGGTACAGAGCAGTCCTGTCACCCGTGTTGCCCGTTTACAGCCACACCCACTTCCCTCCACCCTCCCAGTCCTCATCTTTGACCCAGGCAGCCTGTGATCTGTCCCGTTTCTGTTATTTTGCCATGTCATAAATGGAATCGCCCAGAGGTGTCCTTTTGGGATTGGCCTTTTTAACTCAACATAATTCTCTGGAAATTCATCTAAGTTTCTTTATGTATCAGTAGTTTGGTCCTGAATTTTCATTGCTGAGTAACGGTCCAGGCAATGGCTTTTTAACTTTCTTTTATTTTAAAGGGGAGGGGGAAAAAAGGCACTGAATCCTGGTTTTCTGTGCTGTCTTCCTGTATGTTTTGACCTTTGACGCTGTGTGATTAAAGGAACCGGAGTCACCAAGAGATGAGGAGGAGGCTGAAGATAAAGCCCAGACCTGACACCAGGGCTCCTCCATGGACGACCTTCTTAGTTTGGAAAGAGACATTTTTGCTGATATTCAGATGTTGTCTTTAAATATATGACTCAGAACAGAGCCTCGATTTTGGTTGGTAGGGAATAGAGTCGTATTGTCACAGGAGGACTTTCTCGTGTTCCACGAAACACTGCTGTTATTGTGTGGAATGTGAAAATTCTGGTTTCTGGTTTGGGCCCCCGTGCTGGCCTTGAATAAAACACCGAGCACTCTCCTCCTGGCAGAAAAGCTGTCCAGATCTTTCCTTCAAGGCATCCTCCCACGTCTCCTATGTACTGAGCGCTCAGCACTGCGCCAGGCACTGGGCACATGCGATGTGAATGTTGCAGACACAACCTCCAGCTTCATGATGCTGAGCTTGGATTGATTCTTCCTACAGGTGTTTATGGAGCATCTATTGGATGCCATTTGACTGAATGCGGAGGACACAAATGAATCAGGCACCTCTCTCCTTATCAGTCTCAAGAATCTTATACAAGTACATATGTCAGAATACAAGATACAAAGTGTCAACATAGGGAAAGCACCAGAAAGTGCACAAACCCAGAGAGCTTCTCTGTGCCTGGGGCCTTATCTTAGTCATTCCTGTTTATGTAAACCCAGTGCCTGGCAGTTAAAACAATCAGTACAGTTGGTTAAGTCTTGGATGGATGGATGGATGGATGGATTGACAGAGATGGCATTTCAGCCGACCTTTGAGGGACTAGAAACATCCAAATGCATGGAGACTAAGGAGTGGGTATTCCAAACAGAGGGACCAGCATAATCAAAAGCATAGTGGGGGTGCCAGAAAATTCTGGGGCACTCATTATAGGAAACCCCAAGTGATTCAGTTTGGCTGGAGCAGAAAGTTGCAGGAAAATATGGGACATAAGTTTGAAATGACCCTGGAGCCTGCATCTATAGGGCCTTACATGCCAGGCCCAGGAGTTTTCACTTTGTTCTTCAGTGGCAATGGAATGCTATTGAAAAATTTTTTTTCAGTCTTATATGTCCATGGTTCATATTTATGACATCTTATTTTTTTTTTAGTGTGTGAATTTGCTCATCCGAGGACATGGTGAGATAGGGTTTCTTGTTCAATCCCCATTTGGGCCCATTCCCTCGCACAGATTCATGACCTATGACCCATCCCTACACCCCGACCTAAAGACAAATGCTGTCACTTACCAGGGGCTGCATTAAGGAAAAGCATCACCAACATAGGGACGCAAACTCAAAACCCAGTGTCTGACCTTTGGCTGAGAAGTGTTTTCAGCTCAGAAGGCCAGTCTCTCTGAGACGGTTGGCCCTGTCACCCTGCCCTAACCTCCTTTCCTTCCCTTTCTCAGCAGCCTTATATCTTGGTGCCCTGCCCGCTGAGCGCAGGGTGGCTGCTCTCTTTCCTGTTGTCGAGGAAGGGTTGTGAAGATCCATGATATGATATTGTTCTAATATTTCTTGTTGTTGACAATATGCTTATCTCCGTAGGGCAGAAATAAACCATACACAGCCATGTCTCCTCTCGAGGAATTTACATTCAAATTGTTCTTTCTTTCTCTTCATCACTTTTGAATATGCATTTTAATTTCTCACAGGCAATCCAAATTGACCCTTTCAAGGACCTTGCCTTTAAAAGTGAGATTAACTTTAATTGATGTACCTTGTTGAGCAGCTTCTGTGGGCCTTCCACTGTCCTGGGTGCTGTGGGATTCACTTCCAATTGTTCATTTACTCATCCGTTCATTCACTCATTCAAAATATGTTTATTGAACACCTATTGTGTGTTAGATCCGCAGGCCAAATGTGTGTCCCCATGGAGCTTACATTGTAGAACTTACAATATTTTGGAGGAAGATTCATTGCAGGCAGCAGTTGAGTGTGCCTAATAGACAAAGACATG